TTTTTTTTCATCAATTCCGCGTCGAAGTCGGAATCACGTCGTCGTGGTGGCACACGTGTTACATAATACTTCGCGCCATGTTAAAGACCCGACGGCCGGGCGTTACAATCGATAACGGAATTCAATTAACAGCTGCTTTCGCGTGAATTTTTCACCGCCGACTGATCAACGCGATTGCTGAAGAAGAAGAAGAAGAAGAAGAAGAAGAAAGGAAGAAAGAGCGAGAGACGTTTTCGTTTCAAACGTGAAATCCATCAAAAATTACCGCCGTGAACCAGGCAATCGAATGACCTATAGCTCCGATGGACTATAAATAAATGAGGAAATAAAATGTTCAACCTTCTGGCAAATCAAGCGCGCACTTTCCACGTACGTGATGACACGAATCAACTTGTGGAATGCATTCAACATGTACCCCATCTGTGGCCGTTGGTTTTCCATTTTCGTCGCCTAAGTTTCTAGCTGAAACGCGTATTGTTTGCAAAGTTGCTCGTTCCCGCGAAAGAATGTATGTAGTCCGTCGAAAACGTACGCCGGTTCATTCCGATTTCGAGTGGCTAATCGCGTGCATTATGCGGGCCCTCTGAACAATGGCCGAGCGGTTACGAAATATCGCGAACGTCTGGAAATAACAAACCTAAACTTCGACGAGACTTTAGATACTGCCATTCGACCTGAATTAAAACGTTAGAACGTGTTGCTAATTTCTCCTCGAAGATTCCAACGTGGAACTCATAATCAACGAATATGGAGCAACAACAATGTTCAGTGTACTCTGAAAACATGCCAATCGAACGACGGCGACTGGTAATTCTACCAAGATTTCTACGAAAAATTCTCGTCTTGGTTCTCATTTTGTTCGCGCGTGTTTCCGTCGCGAGGGAAGATAACGACGTCGTCCAGAGTTCAACAGTCTTCCAAAATGAGAAGCTGCATGAACCGTGAGGCGAATGAGAGCGCGTTTACCCGAAAACGCGGTGTCCTCGTTTGTCGTAACGCAAGATCAGCTCGAGAGACACAAGGAAAAAGCGGTTCCAAAAAGAAAAAAAAAGGAGAGAGAGAAAGAAAAAAAAACCCCGCCGGACGCTTTGTTCGTAAAAGGAACGTGACCTAAATGGGACGAGAGGGAGAGCGAGAGGAAGAGGAATCATTCCTCCCCTTTTGCTTCGATCCACCCAAAGATCCGCAGTAGAATCAACGATCGGCCTGGCGGGTGTGTCGCTGAACGCGTGTACGCCTGTGTGTATGTCTATTCTGTGCACGTGTACTCGTACGTGTGTGTCGGTGTGCGTGCGACGCACGGCCAGAATCCATCGCACGATCGCGATGAACTAAACGAGGAAAATCATTAAACTGTTGTGAGGGGTGGGGTGGGGGGTGGGAGGGGGCGCGATAGGTTAAGGGAGACGTTGTCCGAATGATATTTATCCGACACTCGTCTCTCCGAGTCCCACGGGGCAGCTTGCCTCGTGTTGTCGTCGCGGTAGAGTACCGCAATTTCTCTATAGCGCAGCCGATCGGCCAATCGGCGGGTGTGTCACCCCCGTAGCTCGACGCATGGCCAGACTCCAAGCTCCAATCTCGAAAGGATAAGAGAGCCTGTCTGACCAGTGGTAGCACGATTCTCTCCGTCACGGTTGGACGTGATGCTTCGCGCGAGATTAGAATCCATGGAATCTGGGCAATGTAGGGCGTGGCACGATGATGTAAATAGAGAGTAGTAGCAAACTCTGACGATGTATCGACAACGTTGTCGCAGATACGATGATCGCGTAATACTCTCCTTCACCCAACACGTGGAATTTTACATCGGTCTAACAGATTCTAGAGAGACAGACGGTTGCTTTCGCTGCGCTACGGCATCCCGACCCCACCAGTTGCAGGTGACAAGAGGAAAGATCATCTACTCACCATGATAATAGAGAGCACCAGAGGCGTTGAGTGGCGGTGGACTGGGCGCAGTGGCACCAGCGGTTGGACTGTGCGGACCCCAACAGGTCTGTTGATGATCGACCTGTCTGCTATCCGTGTCCCCGACCACGTCGATCTCCTCGTCCTCCGGCTCATGCCTGTGTTGCCTCTTCTCCAACGACGCGGACGTCTGCTGTATACCGTGGTTAGCCTGCTCCTGCAGAATGCTCGAAGGATCGTTCGAATGCTCCTCCTGTGGATCGTCAACGCGATCCGGCCACGGGTAGGCCTTCCATTTCTTGGCCATGAGGCAGCGCGGCATGTTGACGCAGTTGTCCCGTTGTTGTTCGGTAACCGTTGCTGCCACGGGCTCCCGGTGGTGCGTCGTTCACCAGGTGGTGGCGATCACCCGGTGGTGCCGATGGCCACGATGATCCCGACGTAGTAGTATCCCTGTCACGAAAAACCTCCGACGTTGTTACACCACTACCAACAACACCCTCACCAACCGCACCAAACGCACCACCGTACCGACGACGATCGACGATCCCGAGGACGTCGACGACGTCGACCAGCGCGACCTGGCCTAGCCCGCCACCGGCACCACTGTCGCCGGTATCGCGTTCCTCGTTACACCAGCCGTCGACCACGGCGATGCGGTCGTCGATGTTGCGACGCCGTCGCCTCCGTCGCCGCCGTCCGTCACTCAGCGCCGTCCGTATCTGTAACCTGCCGTTTGTAACCTCCCCTCGGATGATCGAGCTATCCGTAGACGGTGCCTGCTGCGGCTTCCTCTTCGTCCTTCCTTGCTCACGTTGGGGCGTGATCTGCAGCCTCGTCATCGGCACAGCGAGGGCAGCTCCTTCGTAGGATGCACCGCCACCATGCCAGCCTGTTCGCACCAGAGAACCCTCCTCGACTTTTCCGGCCTCACCCCCTTCTCTCTGTCTCGCCTTCGAGCTCGTAACTACCCAAACTCGCGTTTTCTTTCTTTTTTTTTTTCTTTTTTTTTCCCCCTTCGGTAACTACCACTAGACAACTACTATACTACTACTTGATCTGAGTTGTTGATAGGGGCCTACTACCGATTCTCCTCGTGTCTTCCTCTACGTTCCTCTTCCTCGTTCTTCCTCGGCTTCGTCCTTGATCCGCTCTTCTTCATCCACTCTTCCTCGTCCACCAGTCTCTCGTTCCTCTTTCATCGGCGTGCTCCTCCTCCTCGACGTTTGTACATATATATATACATATATATATATATATATACGTTGGTATGTGTCACTGTACGTCCCTAGATATATGTATATATATATATGTATATGTATATGTTGTTCAGCCCTTCCGTCCCCGCGTGCAATGCAGCTTTCTTTTCTCCCTCACACGACGACTTTTACTAACTTTCGTTGGCTGACTAACAACTGAGTGGACCGACTGACTGACTGACTGACTGACTGACCGTCTGTCTGTCTGTCCGTCCGTTCGTTCGTTCGTTCGTCTGTCTGTCTGTCTGTCTGTCTGTCTGTCCGATACTCTCTCGGTCGCTCCCTGTCGTGGCTCTCGCCAGTGACAGGGGGTGCCCTCGAATACGATCACAACGACGGGGTGCGACTGTTTAGTCGGTAGCGCTGCCGCTCCGCTGCTTATCCCCTACCTTACGTTATTCCCCATCCTCGTCTGACCCCGGACCGCCGCTTCCACCTCTCGTTCCGACCACCACGAGACTAGCAACCCCCGTCGTCCCTCCGTTGCGGCTCCCCTTGAATCAGCATCGCGAGACGGCGCTGCAGTCGCCTCGCCGCCGCCACCACCGCCACCGTCGCCGCCGCTGCTGCTGCTGCTGCTGATGGTTTATGCTGAAGCAAGGGATGGCTGCGCAACCCCTCGAGGGTGCCGATGCTAGTTCTCGATTCCTGCAGGCCTTTTGATTGTGTGCGCGCGCGGCCTCCAACGTTTGCGCGAGACGCGCGTGTGTGCATCTACGCCATTGGCGTAGCCGCACGCTCGTTTCATCTTCAACGGTGACAAACGACAACTTTCGACACGTCGTTTCCTCGATTTTCACGACGATGAGAGAGCTGTTGCCTCCTCTTGGGAGATTGTCTATTTGGGAAGGACGAGAGAGATTCGTGTTTTACGTAGACACGGCTTGACAAGGAGGGGTGGTTGCGAGGGATTTGAAGGAATTTAGGAGACCCTGTTGAGCGGCGCTATTGCGTCTCGACGACGAGGGTGGCCAACAGATCGACTCTCTCGCTCCCTTCCCCGCGCGCGTACACTTTGTGCAAACTCGGATTTACGGCAGTCTGCTGGAATCGTATGCTCACAGTGGCTTGCACCGCTGGGCTCGTCCCGAATTGTAGCTCTGGCCTAGACCGAAGCATCAACCACTGTTATTGGCATTCCGTATGCTCTTTACAGCCTGCCGATATCAACGATACGTGTAACTCTCCCATTTGAAAAAAATCTCCAAGCCCGTTTCCATAACCGGTTCTACTCAAATTCGCGTTGGAGTTCGAGCGAGTGTTCGCTCGATTTTACCCTTCGCCCGATAAATCCGACAAACCGAACTCTTGCGAGTCTCCGTGTGTCACGATGAAGGTTAGTGAACCCGGGTGTCGAGCGCAAAAAAAGAAAAAAAAAGGAAAAAGAAAGGAAAAGAGAAAGAAAAAGAACGAAAGGAAAAAAGGAAAGAAACCGAGCACCGAAACCGTCCGCGGGGGACGCGTGTGCAAGTGGTCGGTGTCGAGGCCGCCGCACCGCCGCGCCGCGTCGTGTCGAATGTAGACATCGAGGAAGAAGAGAGAGAGAGAGAGAGAGAAAGCGAGAGAAAGAGAGAGAGAGCGAGAGAGAGCGGAAGAGAGAACAGCTGGCCGGGCTGCCACGGGCACCGGCCTCGTTCCTCGCGTCACGACGAGTGTGTAAACTCCCAAGGGGGAGGCCGATGGTAATTCCTATGGAAGATTGGCTGCATAGTGGTGACGCTATGTCGCCCGATACGCGACGCGAACTTGTTGGTAGCGGGTTGACGGTGTTGGTGCAGCCTGTGGAAGGAACGGTGCGCGCGATGAGGGGTCGGCGGGAGGGGGAGGTGGGAGAGAGGGTGCTTGGCACACGTTGGGGTGAGATCTCGAAGGGGAGAGGGCAGCCTCTATCTCCCCTGTTCTGCAGAAAAGGGGGAGAAAGTCGAGGGTGGAAGAGCCAGAAACGAGAATGTCGGCTGGAGTGGTGGTGGACGAGCGAAGGTCCGCGCGAGGGTTAGTACAGATGGGTGGTGGGGGATGAGTGGGCAGAGTGGGGATGGCCGCGCATGCGCCAGCGATCAGCATCGACCCGACGTCTAGGCAACACCTGGTAGCGCCTCACGTGCCACGTTAGGGTGGCACCAGCCACCCCGCGCACGCGATCCCTCGTATCGAATATCACGCTGGCCTTCCTGTCCCGTCTACTGACCCACGCCAACCACGTCTTTCGTCGCTCTCTCGCACTTTCGGCTCGAGTTTTTCGCAAATGGGATGCAAACCAATCTAGAACCGGCACGTGGCGCCTCCTCCGCAACCGGTTCTACACTTTTTTACGGCGGGTTACCGTATCTCCTGCGGATGGAAATTCGAGATGGTTAGTGGTTTTTCTTTTTTTTTTTTTTTTTCTTTTTCTTTCTTCTGTTCATATCGATTCCACAGGTCCGATCAATGGTTGAGCACGCTCGTCTACTTGTAGGAGGTTCGCGAACTTGTTTGCAGAACAGATTTATCGAGGACGGAACGCAGCTTCGTGAAATTTGGAGATTATATTCATTCTGTCTCGCTTGAGAAGTTTCTCATTACCGAACAAACTTCCATGCCTATCCATCTATCTCACGCGTCATCAGCAGTGTTCTTCATATCACCTGTGGCCATAGATTCGCAAGCAGTAGACTGCAATTTCTGTCGGGTACGACGGAGTTCGAGGCGCCAATCACCCGCGACAATATCGAGATTGGTTCGCGTTTTGCGGACAGATGTTTCCCAGCGTGTTCCAACGGAGCTCTCCTCTCGCCGCTCGTGTCCTATTTACCGACTATTGTCGTTCTTCCAGCAGCGGCGCAAACTTTCTAAGCGGCGCCGCGTAATAACCGTGCCATATGACGGAACCGTGCCGCAACAGCTGATGCATCTCGATTTGCAATGCCCTGTTCATCGAAAACTCGTCGGTACGCACCTAATCTACCGTCACTTTACCAACGACTTTGTTCTGAAAAAAATTTTTTTTCTTCGTCAATAAATCGCTATTATCATTGGGAAACGAAACCACGGGATGTCAATCCGGTGCTCTGTTTAAAAAAAAAAAAAATCGAAAGTAGGATATTCTTCGACACATTTAGAAACAATTGGAGCAATTTCATCGCTGTTCGTGAAGCATTCTAGAGCAATCAACGCAAGTGCTTCTATTCTTACACGACCCTATCAATCCCTTTGCATCGGTAAATAGAACAGTCAAGCCCTTGCTCACCCTCTCTCGCATAATACAATCCTAACTACACGCCTCGGAGCCTCGACCCAACGCAAATAGCTCTCAGAGGAACGGGAAAACGATAAAAAAATATCGCTAAATTCTGTATCGATGCTCGCGACTCTTGTTTCACACAGGTCAAACATCCAATTATCATTTTATGTTAAACGTAATATTTTTAAGTTGCAAGTCGCAGCCTCGCCGTGGTTAAAAATTATCTTCATCTTATTTATCTTTTGTCTTTGAACAAATGTCCAAAGTTCAATCGTTTCCTCTCGTTGCGATCGCTACGACAAAGACGCGAATTATTTCAACCTAACCAAAGAGAAGAACACGAGAAACAAGACTCAATTGTGGCCATTTGTACCGAGTAAATACATATTCGCTTGTTAACAGAATTGAACTCGATCGAGGAAAACTGCCGGTCTATTTCGTTCAACCGAATATTAATTCGAGTCGCGAATAACCACGTCGAATGCGAGCGTTATCTCGCGCCGCATCCATCTTTCCACCGCTATCTCTAATCAATCGCTAATTAAACGGTGGTGCGAGCCACGCCACTTACCACGTCACCTTTGACCCGTGATTTATCCACCATCCTCTCCCCCCTACCCCTCCCCCCCTTTTCTACGATGTGCATCCATGCCACGTGTCACGCCTACGCGCTCCTCCATTAGCTAATCTTGTTTATTGACCCACCAGCCTCCCTGCTCTTTTTTTTCGTCATTCGCACCTGCCCTCACGCACGCATCATACCCGCAACCCCGATCGATTCGATAGCTATAGAATTTTTCACGTAGAATGCCGACTTTGTGATTCGAATTTTATTTCTATTTGGGAAAAT